CGGCAGCCGCAGCAGCGGCAGCAGGCGGCTGGCCGGCGGGCGGAGCGGGCTCGGTGGGGAACAGGGAGCGGCGCCACACCACGGCAGTACCTGGCTGCCCCGCCACCAACAGCTCGACCTCGCGAGGCAGGGTGTCGTCGGAGCGGCGGATCACCAGGGAGAACCGGTCAGAAGCCATGCCGCAGTCCAGATGGATGCGGGCCATGCTCGTGACGCATGGGTAGGCGGCGCGGAAGTGGGCGATGAAGGCGGCGGTGGGCACCTCGGCAGGCACACCGGACAGGTAGGCCTCCTGCTCATCAAGCAGACGGCCGTCGTGGATGGTGGCAGGGGGCGCGTCGGCCGGCCAGGGGGCCGGCAGCCGCACGCTGGTAGGGCGCAAGGGGTTGCCACCAGCAAGCAGCGCGTCGCGGAGCGGCGGCCGCATGGTGAAGGTGAGCCCCACCGCCACAGGGACGCGGTCGCCGAGCCGGCTGGCCATCAAAGGGTAGGGCTGGGAGACGACGGGCTCAGGGGATGGGCCACTGGCAAAGGCCCCTGACTGACCGAGATTACAGAGAACCGGGCCCTTTAAAGGGCTGGGGACACACAAGCCATGCCCACTAGCTCTGGACAATATAAGTATGAAACCAACCAACAGACAGGGCGGCGGAGCGCGGGGCTGCGAGGAGCCGATCGGGCACAGCGGGCGGCAGGGAAAGCGGAGGGTGCCTGGGAGCCAGCCCAGTGACTGTCAGAGAGGTGTGAGGAGGGGAAACGGGGGGCAAAAGACAGGGGAAAGAGGGGGATCAAGGGCCAGGACCGCCAGCAGGCGGCGCAAGCGGCTCAGAGACGCCACCCACCCCGGCACAGAAGCTGGGGGAGCGGCCAGGCGGGCGGGCGGGGACCGCCTCAGAGGGCAGGCGACACAGGGGGTCAAGGCTCAGGTCAGATCACACGGGAGAAGGGGGCAGCCAGCTGCCAACGAGGAGAGGGGAGAAAGGGGGACGCCAGAGAAAGCACACCGAGCGGCAGCGCGGCAGGCACAGCACGAGCAAGCACAGGCGCACAGGCACTGCAGCACACTGCCGGCGGGTCCCCGATGGCGTGACTGCGGAAAAGCGCAACCACCTCCACTGGAAGGCCCCTGTGATCTGTGATCTGTGATGTTACAGAGGCAATGCCCACTGGAAGGCCCCGACAACATAAGCATGAAACCAACCAACAGACAGGGCGGCGGAGCGCGGGGCCGCGAGGAGCCGACCGGGCACAGCGGGCGGCAGGGAAAGCGGAGGGTCCCTGTGATCTGTGATCTGTGATGTTACAGAGGCAATGCCCATTAATGGGCTGGGGGCACACAAGCCGTGCCCACTAGCTCTGGACTGTATGAAAGCATGCAATACCGCCCGGGCGGCAAAGGGCGGGCTCAGGGAGCGGTCGGGCGCAAAGGGCGGGGAGGGAGGCGAGGGGCGCCTGATGGCCAGCCCAAGGGCGGCAAGCATACCAGTGGGGGGGAGGGGCAGGTCGAGGACCCGCACACCACCACCACCAGAAAGCGGGCCCACCCACCCCGGCACAGTAGCTGGGAGAGCGGCCAGGCGGGCGGGCGGGGGCCGCAAAGGCGAAGGCGGCACGCGGGAAGACCGGGCAAGGGGAGGACGGGGCAAGCGCAAAAGCGCAAGCATCTGCGGGTTACGGGGGGGAGAGTAGGGGCGTGACGACCAGAACGGCAGGCACGGAGTGAGCGAAAAGAGGGGGGGACGGCGGGCCGCCCGGCACGCGGCGGCAGCAGCAGCAGCGGCCTGCCCGAACGCAAATCGCTCGGCGGCAACAGGCTCCTCCGCCAAGCCACGCCACCCCACGTCTCAATTCGCTGAAGGGAAAGCACCAGGGCTTGGGGCCGCGACACACGGAAGCGGGAATTGGGGGGAGGGGCTGGCGCGCACAAAACGCGTCGTAGGGGGCGAACAAGTCGCAGAGGGGGTGGCCGGGCACCAACGGGGCACACGGGGGCTCATACAACGGGCCGGGAGCCGGCACCGGCCCGAGGGGGTGTTCGCCGGACTAGCCGAGCCGCGGGCGCCGCAGGGCCCGGGGCACCCCTCCACGCACCATCAGGAGGCCATCTCGAGTGCGGGCAGTTGCAGAATGGGCGGCTGGCGGGCCAAGCGAGCCGGCGATGCTGCGGTCGCCCTCGTCCTGCGTCCCCAAGGCAGGGTGTTGCTCAAGAAGGGCCCCAGAGGAGCGGGAGGGGGGCGCGGGGCCCGGCCGCGCCGGGGGACTCGAGCAAGGAACGATGAACAACGGGTCCCTGTGATCTGTGATCTGTGATGTTACAGAGGCAATGCCCATTAATGGGCTGGGGGCACACAAGCCGTGCCCACTAGCTCTGGACTGTATGAAAGCATGCAATACCGCCCGGGCGGCAAAGGGCGGGCTCAGGGAGCGGTCGGGCGCAAAGGGCGGGGAGGGAGGCGAGGGGCGCCTGATGGCCAGCCCAAGGGCGGCAAGCATACCAGTGGGGGGGAGGGGCAGGTCGAGGACCCGCACACCACCACCACCAGAAAGCGGGCCCACCCACCCCGGCACAGTAGCTGGGAGAGCGGCCAGGCGGGCGGGCGGGGGCCGCAAAGGCGAAGGCGGCACGCGGGAAGACCGGGCAAGGGGAGGACGGGGCAAGCGCAAAAGCGCAAGCATCTGCGGGTTACGGGGGGGAGAGTAGGGGCGTGACGACCAGAACGGCAGGCACGGAGTGAGCGAAAAGAGGGGGGGGACGGCGGGCCGCCCGGCACGCGGCGGCAGCAGCAGCAGCGGCCTGCCCGAACGCAAATCGCTCGGCGGCAACAGGCTCCTCCGCCAAGCCACGCCACCCCACGTCTCAATTCGCTGAAGGGAAAGCACCAGGGCTTGGGGCCGCGACACACGGAAGCGGGAATTGGGGGGAGGGGCTGGCGCGCACAAAACGCGTCGTAGGGGGCGAACAAGTCGCAGAGGGGGTGGCCGGGCACCAACGGGGCACACGGGGGCTCATACAACGGGCCGGGAGCCGGCACCGGCCCGAGGGGGTGTTCGCCGGACTAGCCGAGCCGCGGGCGCCGCAGGGCCCGGGGCACCCCTCCACGCACCATCAGGAGGCCATCTCGAGTGCGGGCAGTTGCAGAATGGGCGGCTGGCGGGCCAAGCGAGCCGGCGATGCTGCGGTCGCCCTCGTCCTGCGTCCCCAAGGCAGGGTGTTGCTCAAGAAGGGCCCCAGAGGAGCGGGAGGGGGGCGCGGGGCCCGGCCGCGCCGGGGGACTCGAGCAAGGAACGATGAACAACGGGTCCCACGCGGGACTTCGAAAAAAGAGAGTTTGAGTATATGTCAAGCAGAAATTGAGTACCCTTAACAACGAACATCCGGGCCACTCACCTGGCCATCTATCCGATCCGGAAAGCCGACATCGTGGCCGAGCTGGTCTAAGGCGCTGTGTTCAGGTCGCAGTCCGAAAGGGCGCAGGTTCGAATCCTGCCGATGTCATATTTTGCACGGCCGACGCTTGCAGCGTTTTGCGCCATGGCCGCCGCTCAGACACGAGTTTGGGTGGCGTGCCGGCAGCATTGGAGCCCTGTGTCAGAGCAGGAGGCAGCCTGAACCACAGCAAGGGGCGTGGGATACCGTATGGTCAGACTTCAGTGCTCAACATTGGGTGCGGTGGCACCGTGCTTGTGTGCGCCCCCGCGCCACTACCCATTGCGCACACCATGGAACACCATGGGGAGCGGCTGGCCTGAAAGCAAACTCCATTACCCGCAGGCATCGTCTGCAGGCGGGCACTGCAGACGCAACTACGGCCGCCAGACACAGCCCCGGCATCCCATTTAGTGCCGCCGCTACCGCGGTGCGCACCACTCGCGGCACCCAGCTGGGACCCCTGCCCAAGCTTGTCAGCTTGTGTCTGCCGAGCCAGAGGTCCCTCTCAACTTTATGAGCGTGGGGGGAGAACAAATCGCACAACACCGCTTGCTCATATGCACATTCCATCCTCCCTGCGCACCTTGGGCGGCGGCCGCGCCTCCCGCCCCATGCCGCCAGCAGCCACTGCAGCGCTCGATGCTGCGCCCGCTGAAACAGCCGTGGTACGGCCTGTGGAAGCCGTTGGGTGGGCAGCGCCACAGCGAAACACGGGCCGACGAGCGGCTCATGGCGAACGCGACCCAGAGGGCGTGTTCTGGATTGGCTCCAGGCGCTTCAGAGAAGCCTTTCAGGCCTGAGCCCGTTGCGAAAGAGAGAGCGACTGCACACGCCTTCCGGCGCGGGAGCAACGCATGGGTGCAGGTGGATGTGCTGGCGCCGCAGCGCCAGGTGCCTTCCATCATTCCCGCTCGGAATTTCCGGGCATCCCTTTCTCCCCTCTCCTCGTTGGCAGCGGGCTGCCCCCATCTCCCGTGTGATCTGACCTGAGCCTTGGCTCCCTGTGTCGCCCGCCCTTTGAGGTGGTTCCCGCCCGCCCGCCTGGCCGCTTCCCCAGCTTCTGTGCCGGGGTGGGTGGCGTCTCTGAGCTGCTTGCGCCGCCTGCGCGCGGTCCTGGCCCCTGATCCCCACTTCCCCCTGTCTTTTGCCCCCTGTTTCCCCTCCTCACAACGCTTTGACAGTCACTGGGCTGGCTCCCAGGCACCCTCCGTTCCCTGCCGCCCGCTGTGCCCCGATCGGGCATCCTCGCAGCCCCGCGCTGCACCGCCCTGTCTGTTGGTTTGTTTCATGCTCGTATTGTCCAGAGCTAGTGGGCACGGCTTGTGTGCCCCCAGCCCTTTGAAGGGTGTTGCCTCGTACATCACAGATCATCGCCGTACACGTGGGCCGTACATGTGAGTGCAAGTAGTTCATCGATAAAGCTCGAAACGTCTTTTGAATGATCGAGAGGAACAAGAGCCTAGATACAGCGGGCACGGCACACCCAGCCGTTGCGTTTTTCACGCCCGCCTCCGGGCAAAGAAATAATAGAGGGTGCTCCAATTCTGTCCAAACCCCGGGACTATCTGCGCTAACGTTGATGTCCCACGCGCCCCGCAATGAGCAGCCGCAAGATCTCCTCCGTGGCAAACACGCCCTTGGACACTGCTACATGGAACTGCTGCGGCGTCTGTGCCACCGCCTGCGCCACCGAGTCCGCCGTGATGCCGGGCAAGTAGGCCTTGGCCACCAGGTGCGCCAGGCCCAAGTCATTGTCGTCGTCTGCACAACAAAGAGCAAGTCGGTTGACTGAAGTAGCGGTTGGCATGTGTAATGGAAGCAACATCGCCTCCCTACGTAGTTGCGGGACCTTGCTACGCTGTCTTCTCACCACACAGGAAAGCACACTCCTGTGGCATCACCCTCATATGCTGCATGAGATACCTGGCCGCATTCTCCTGCAGTGGCAGCATGGTAGGGCGGGAAGAATGTCAAGAGGTGACAAAACACCTGGCTGCACTCCGTGGCAGTTCTACCACTTTATATGTCTCCGCCACCAAGCACCATTCACCTTGCCAGAAGTGTCCGGGAACACGTCAGCGGCCCCCAGGTTGAGTGCAGTGGCCAGCCCAGGCGGCAGTTCCTGTAGCGCCGCCGCCACTGCTGCAGCCGGGCCTTTGACGCGGAACGCCGTCGTGTAGCTGCACGCGTCTGCGTGCAGCGCCGGAGCATTCACCTTCAAGGCCGCATAAAATTGCCAGAGGGCACCAATACGCTGCTCAGGTGGTACCACGTCCTGGCCTGGTGGGCCTGCAACGCCTGCTTGCTGCTGCCGCCAGGCCATGTCCTCCACCAGCGGCGCAGCTGAGGGGTAGTCCAGAGGGCCGGTGGGGTAGAAGATGCGGCCGCCTCCCTCGCACACAAACGCGTCGGCGGCGGGGATGAAGGGCAGGCGCGCCAGCAGCGTCACCAGGCGGGCCCCTGCACGTGGACGGGCGGCAGCCAGCTAGTCACCAAATGCGAAAATGATGGCAGTGGCTGGCAACCGCACAGCCTCTACGCCCACACCATTGGCAGTGTACCCTCCCTCGACCCTACCCGTCACAACCACGATTTTGACTCCCAGTTGGCGCAAGGTGGCATACAGCCTCAGCGTCTCTAGCGAGATCACGCCCTGAGCACCTGCGGCAGTGCAGGGGAAGTAGAGAGCAAGTCCGGTGAGGAGCGCCGGTGGCGGGCTGGCGGCGCCGGCAGCTTACCTGACGTGGATGGGGGCAGTCGCATCAGGAGCGCCTGCTGGCTGCCATCCAGTGAGGTACAGGGGTAGAGGCCACGCTCATTGGGTTCGCTGGCCACCTGCCCAAACTCGGGCCAGTCATAATGGACGCACGTCCCATCCAAATCCGTGAATAGCACCTTCATGGTGGCCAATCATTTGATTGACATGAGCACGCAGGGCATAAAGCCTCCCGGCAGTACGAAAGTACCGTGCCAGCCAGGCCGCTGCCCCCTCGCGGGTTAAAACTGGATTCCCAGCAGTTGAAGTTAGTCAAGCTTCAACAAATGTTAAGAAGACAGCGGCAACCGCTCTTCTTGCGGTCCCCTTGGGCTCTTTACTCCATCGGGGTCACTCTCTACATGGTGCACCAGAAACTCCATAGTCCAGAGGTGTAGCAAAATCCCTGAATGTAGCAGCGCTGCTCGGTGTTTTTGAACCAAGCCAGCCGCAGGGCGGTTGCTCCGCCCCCTCCCCGTCCCACCCAACCCAGTTTGCCTTGTGGGGGTAGGTCTCGTCTGCCCAGTTGTTTGTTCTGAAATCAATTGCAGGAACCCACAGTCAAAGCAGCCAGCGCTGTGTGCGAGGTACGTGGCATTGGGCTTGAATGCTTGTTTGACCGCAGGTTGTTGCGCTGTAGTTGAGCCTTGGCGGGTGCCGGGAGCTGATGTTTTGGCAGACTTTCTTTATGCAGCCTTGCCCCAAGTTCAGCTGCCCGTCTACACTGAAGAGCGGGCCGCAAGTGTTGTCTGCGGGAGAGCCAGCATCATCCGCAACTGTGATTCCGATCCCCACCATCAACCTCCTTGATGTCTTGGGGCCAAGTGAGCGGTTAATTATGTCCTTGCTCGGGCAGGGAAGGAGGCAATGTGTGTGGGTTGCAAGCCGGTGAGCGGTGCACACAATGCACGGGGTTCACGCTGGTGTTTGTTCCGACCCACTCTTGCCTGCACCTTCCCAACTTGCAGGCGACGGCCTGAGCTCTGTCTCTGATGTGGCGTACATGGCGTTTGCCTGCATCTTTCCGCTGGAGAAGACGGTGCTGAAGGACAGCCGGCCAGCAGTGAAGCAGGAGAAGCAGCATACTCTGGAGCAGCAGCTAGTACAGATTGTGGAGTCTGTCCGCGGGCCAGGTCCCAAAGGTGTGGAAGGCAGGTGTTTGGGCTGCTGCCGTTGGGCACGCTCTTGCGCGGCTGCATCAGCTGGCATGCATGTACGGCATACAGATGCTGCCTCTTTCCCGTCCTTCCCCGTGCCAGCCGATACCTGTTTCACTCTTGTGCACGCCACCGCGGGGGTGCCTGCCCACCTGCTGCTGCAGGCACCCCACAGCAGACCGTGCTGGAGATCCTAGGGGTGGAGGGCGTCAACCACCCCAAGTTCATGCAGGTCCGCGAGCTCATTGCTGAGCACCTCGGCAGAGGGTACGCCTTCTTGCCGGAGAGACCCCTCAAGCAGTGCTGCGCAAGAAAAGGTGGGCGCGGCAGCGCGGCACACGCCCAGCCCTGATTCCCAGTCCGCTGCACGATGAAGTCAGCGAGTAAGCAGCTTGAACAACACGCATGTTGCAGGCGAGCCAGCGACCGTGGCAGACTTGGGAGACCAGCAGGGCGAGCAGGGTTGTGGGATCGAGTGCATCGGATACAACAGGGGTTTTTTCCTCCTGGGCACGATCGCGTTCATGGCAAAGGAGGTGGTCTATTCCGGATTTTGCACAGGTGCGTGTTTGCTTGGGCAGCGTGGGGACATTCATGAGGCGCCGCCATCTCGAGATGTGGCATTCATGTCATTATGATCATTGCCACTTCATCCTGCAGACCCCCCTATTTACCGGGAAGGATATGCCAACCAACTTGTCAAGGTGAGCTCTGCTCTCGCCCTGCCCTGGCCGTCGCAGTCCAAGATGGCAACTTTTGCTGCGGCGCCCTGTGCCACTGCCCCTCCTGCTCCCTATGCTGTGATTGGGCATGATCCTGTACGTAGTAATGATTTTTCCTTCTCTCTCTGTTCTCTGTCTTGTTCCTGCAGGAGCGGATGATGAGCGAGGAGTGGAAGTGGTTCAACGTGGAGACGCTTTCAGAGGATGCCATCATCTTTGCCTTCCAGCTGCTCTACAAGCACCACACCGTCTTCCTGCGCCAGCACTGGTTGGGAGTCGTGGCCATGCAGGTAACGGGCAGCTGCAAGGCGCCACGTCTCCCTTCTTCAGTCGGGCGCCAGATCGTGGGTTGGTGCTGTGCAGCTTGATTCCCTGCTGGCGCTGATTCCGCTGGAGAGAGCTGCCCCGCGCCTGCCGCAGAACCCTATGGATGCCTGGTCCATCAACGACATCATCTACACCCTCAAGCCTGACCTCATCATTGAGGCTGGCACAGGTACATATAGCAACAACAGACGTAAATGTTTCCTTGCTGGAAGGATTGTACCTGGCCTTCACACCACCACCCGTACAATATGCTGCCGCAGCCAATGGAGGCAGTGCCCTGATGTGGGCCTCCATGCTGCACCTCATCGGCAAGGGCGGCCGGGTAGTGACCCTGGATATGAATCGCCCAGAGCAGATTTCCTGGGTGGAAACGCGGGTGAATGGGGCCGCCACGGCTCTGCTTGGCTTGCCGCCATGCATGGCCACATCAGCTGGCTGAAGCTCTTCCTGGAGCATGCTCTGCGGCTGTTGGGGCGCTGCGCTGATCCCATGCTGTGCCGCCGTGCTTGATGAGTGCAGGAGAATCCCTGGGACAACCCGCTTTGGGATCAGTACGTGACCTTCATCCAGGGCAGCTCCACCGACCCGGCCATACACAAACAGGTCAAGGACATGGCAGACAAGGCCAAAATGGTGCGCAGGGATGGCGGCGGGGCATGCGGTATGGAGCAGGATGGCGCCCTGCTGGTTGCGCCGCATGTGCTCGGCGCGACTGCCTGGCACTGCTGCCGATGGCGCAGGTGCTGGTGCTGCTGGACAGCAGCCATGAGGAAGACCATGTGGGGTTGGAGACCGGCCTCTACTGCCCGCTGGCATCACCAGGCAGCTATTGTATTGTCCAGGTGAGAGAGCGACCCCGCCAGCTTTTGCGCAGCGTAAATGCAAGCCGGCAGGGCTGTGGCTCAACCGCCCACCAACAACCCTGCCTGCTGCGTGTGGCTCTGTGCTGCAGGACACCAAAATGGGTCGGTTCAACTGGCACAACCCCAAGAACGCCCTGCAAGCCTTCCTGGCGAGCCACCCCGAGTTCGCCAGCGACCGCACCCGAGAGCTGCTGTTCACAGACCACCCCAGCGGCTACCTGAAGCGCACCGGCTGACTGGAGGGCGGGCATGGCAGTGCAAGGAGCGTTGCCATCCCATTTTGTGCACCCATTTCGACACGCAGTAACAAGTGAACCGCTGGGGACAAAGTTTAAGGGCAGGGACCGTTAGAGTGGAGCGCTGCATCAGTCAACAGCGGGATGTGGTGGGGGCAGGAGGGGCGTGCATGGTTCAGTGGCAGGCTCGTCACAACAGCTCAGCCCCGGAGACCCTGCCGCCGCTGCCTCCCCGGCTGGTTCTGGCTGCCGCCGCCAGCCGCCGCGGCCGCCGCCGCTGCTGCTGCCAGGTCGAGGCGCTTCCCCATCCGGCGCCGCTCCTCCTCCACCAGCACAACCCGCGCCCTGCACAGGCCCAGCAAGTGCGCCTGCCCTGCAGCGGTGCCTGCTGACGCCTGCGCCGCTCGCGGGTCGGCGGCCGCATCCTTGAGCCACTGCACCAGCCTGGCGGGGACCACCACGGGGCCTTGCACAACCTCCTGCACACGCTGCAGGCTGGGCAGCACCAGCCCCTCTGGCGAACAATACTGCTGCTGCTGCTGCTGCTGCTGCTTCCCCGCACCCTGCTGGCTCTTCTGCTTGCCCGCTGCCGCCGCCGTCGGCGGCTTGAGCTGCACCCGCAGGCTGCTGCGGGTGGCTTTGGTGAGCAGCAGTGGCGCGCCGTTGGGCGGCATGGGCTGCCAGCCTGCGGGCAGGTGGAACCCTGCGGAGGGGCGGCCCTTGCGGCGTGCCGCCAGGCCGATGGCGTCGCCGTGGGACACAAAGGCGGCACGAGAGTACAGGTTCTCTGCCGGCTGCCGACGGGCTGGCAGCGCCTCGGAGCTGGCTGGCTTGCGCGGCGCCGCCTGCCGCTGCGCCGCCTGCTGCAAATCGGCGGCGGATGCCGCGCGGTTGGGCTCTGGCTTGGCTGCAGCAGGGCAGAGCAGCAGGCAGGGCAGAGCAGCAGGATGCATGGTTGAGAGGCAGCTGCACTGTACACCGGGCGGCTGGGAGCCAAGCCTCGCGGCGACTTGCAGAGGGAGGCTCCCTAACCCGCCGGCAGCCGCACCTGCGGTGTGCGCATGCTGGGGCTGCAGCGCGGGCAGCAGATGCGCCCCGCTGGTGCGCTTCCTGCGCTTGTGGAAGTCGTGATCGTGGTGGCACACGCGCATGTCCAGCCCCCGAGGATCGGCAGCCACCAGGTCGGCTGGGCGTGTGTAGGGACGCTTCTTGGACGCCAGCCACCGCTGCGCGGCCTCAGCCTCCACCGCGCCCGCCGCGCCGGCTAGAATTTCCTCAAAGGACACCGAAAAGCAGGCCATGGCCGCCAGCCTGCAGGGCGGCAGCGGCGGAGGAGCGCGGGAGTCTGTGCTGGCGCTGCGGCGGCAGCGGAGCGGCAGTCGGCGAGGAGCCTGCTCCCAAGCAGCAGCGGCGGACTCGAACCTGCAGTCACAATCAAGGAGCGTGGCGGCAGACGCTGGCGGAGACGATGGGCGGGCTCACTGCACCGAAAGCGGCTGCTCTGCAGGGAGCTGAAATTGAAGTACTGCGATCATGCGAAAGAAGGACCAGGGCGCAGAAAGACGCTGCAGGCGGGACCCATTTCCACCCCCCTGCGCCAGGCGGGCGCCCGCCCCTCTGCTCCTGTTGCCTGCATGCTGTGTGTGCCTGATCAAGCATCCTCGTGGTGGATTTACACACAATTATCTGCTGCCTTTGGGCTCATTGTCCACCCCACGACTCATTGCCCGCCCCACAAACTCCTGCAGAAGGCGACAGCTCACTGCCCTGCCGCCACCAAACCTGCCGCCTGCTCACACTCCAGGAGCGCCTGGGAGCTACTTCGCCGCCAATCTGCAGGCCTGCCTTAGCCGCTGTGCCAGTAGCAGGACAGCAGGCGCAGGCGGCTGCTGCAGCCGTGCTGCCTCCAGCACATCAGCCAGTGCCACATCCAGCCGCTCCTGCTGCTCATACAGCGACGCACGTGCGAGCAGCAGCTGGCTCAGCCCTGCCTCCCCACCAGTGTGTCCCTCCTCCGGCTGCGCCAGTCGAATGGCCGCGCTGTACTCTGCAACCGCCAGCTTCAGGCCGCCCAGCTCCCCGTGACTGTGCCCTCTCAGGGCATGCAGCCTCGCCAGCTCCTCCCGCTGGGCTGGCGGCATCGGTGCCGTGCCGGGCGCCGCCAAGCAGGCAGTGCTGGCGGCCAGCGCCTCTGCATGCCGCCCCGCCGCCATCATCACCTCTGCCTCGCGCAGCGCAGCATGCCAGGCGGCCGGATCCTGAGTGGCGATTCCTTCATTCTCCGACCCGGGGGCCTGCTCGGGCGAGGTGCTGGCATCAGTGGCCGGTGCTTCTGGGGCAGGGCCCCTACGCAGCTTCTGCCTCACCTCCCTCCTGCACGCAGAACATGCCAGCTTGCTGGTTGGAGATGTTGCCTGACCCAGCGAGCTCCACCTGTGGCAGACATCTGACAACAAGATGCGTGCTGTATGCTGCACTCAATCAGCAGGAGCAAAGCAAGCGATGCATACCGGAGAGCCGTGAGGTTTGTCTGGTTGCTGCCAGCCTGCCTGGGCACCAGCGGCAGGCTGGCCGGCAGCGCCTCCCACCGCAGCCGCTCATCCGCCTTGGCTAGCTGGACCACCACAGCCTCCGCAGAGAGGGGCAGAGCGAAGCAAATGCAGTGCTGCTCTGCCTGGCCCGGCTGCTCAATGAGCATGTCTGCCCCAGTGACTCCAGTGACAACGGAGCAGCCTGCCTGCGGCTCCCACGCTCCGCTGCCGCTGCTTGCCACCTCGCCGCTGCAGGGCGGCAGCGCAGGTACGCCTCTGACAAAGCAGGAGCAGCGCTCAGGCACCACGGCGGCATGTAGCGGGCGCACCAGCAGCCTGTAGGATGCCGCCCCGCTGGCTTTCCCCCTCACAATGTGCCCATCCGTGCCGCCAGCATTGCCGGCCACCAGCAGATCAAGCGAGTCATGCCCGAAGCTGCACGTCAGCTGCATGGTACCGCCGCCACCTCCCAGCTCCATCTGCTGCACTGGCAGCTCCAGCTGGATGGCGCTGCCTGCATCGGTCCAGCTGTAGCGCTGGAAGGGCCGCGGCAGAGGTGCGGCTGGCGCAGTCTGCTCCTCAGGTGCAGCCAGCAGCTGCGGCGCCCGGTCGGCGGCGGCTACCAGCAGGGGCAGGTCGGGGGTGGCGGGCCGCTCCAGCTGCGCCTGCACCAGGTCGATGGCGCCCTGGGTCATGTGGTTGCCCACAAAGTTGGAGGTGGGCCCCGTCTTGACGCGCTCATACCCCAGGTCCAGCTGCAGGCGGTGGCGGGCGGAGTGTGGGAGGAGTGCATTTAGGCGGCTCGCGACAGTTGCCCTGCCATACAGAGTGACCGTGGTGAGCCAGCAACCAGAGTTGGAACACAAACAAGAAAATTTTGGTCTCCTGCCACCCACAAACAAGCAAAGCCCAGCTACTGTGCATGGGAGGGAGTGCAGTCGGCGGCTCCATGCCCGCTGTTTTGCACCTGGCGTTCTGTACCGTCTGGCAACTGGATCAGTGGATCATACTCCTTCTCCATGTTCACCTGCACAAGTGCACCCAGCAGGGAGGACAGGCTTGGCAGCAGCAGGTAGTGTGCTGGTGCTGTCGCGAGCTCTGCTCTGAAGGCACCCGCCAGGTGGCCCGCCGCTCGCAGTGCAGCCCCCAGTCCGCTCGCCTTCCCTGCCGAAATCCTGCCCTCTGACCTTGCGATAAGGCCCATCATGCGCGTCTTTGGTCCATATCTGCTTCCGGCTGTGCGCCGCCCTGTCGCTCCTCAGCCTGGCCAGCTTCTGCTCAAGGGGTTCCCCGACGGCGCTGGAAGCTGTAAATGGCACGATGTCGGCCGAGGAATGCGAAGAGGGGGGTGCAGGGAGGGGTAGGAAGGGGGCTGGCTGCGCCATCGCTGATGCCTGTTGACTATCGTTGCTCTCGCTTGTTGGCATCCACTCTGTAGAAAGAGGCACCCTGCAGAGGTGCCACACAATGGCAGACTGTCTCCACATCCCTGCTCGTGCTAGCTACCTGCGCACGCCTGGCAAGCGCTGTCCCGCCCCCAACGCGGGCTGTACAGAGTCGCCTTACAAGCGCCCTTGCCAAAACAATGGGCAAATAAAATTTTTCGAATGGCAAAGTAACAAGACGGAAAACATGAGGATACTACAGATGAGTGTGTTTGGGGGGCGAGAGAGACGGGTCAGCAAAAATGGGCAGAGAGATTCCTTCTGCCCGAAAAAAGTGGATGGGGGATGCGGCGGGGAGCCCGGAG